TTCGTCCCTGTACAAACCGTTATTTATTTAACAACAAAATAACATTACTTAAACGATTAAAATCGACTTTAGCATTCAAGTTCTAATGGATGTAAAATTTGATTCAATAAAACATATACGTCATTTCCTCAAATAAATCCGTCATCACTACCTTTTTCTTGTTTGGCACCATTTCAATAACATGAAATTCATTTTAAACTGAATTATTTTACACACCAGACTATTATTTGAATTTTGAAAATTAATTAAGTTTTCATGATTATTTATTATGGCCTTTCTGTATTGTATAAAAGCAGATATAATTAACGACAGTGTTTTACAGATATAATTACACAATATCTACATTTCAACACAGCATTGTCACTCAGACCCGTTTGGGAGGCGAACTGTACTCACTTTTCCCCGACCGCAAACAAAAATAAAATGGTGCATACTATAATGTTTTTACCTATTTTAGCGATATGTAATTGAATGATATTATATACAATTAGTATCTCATTGAAATTGATAACTAATGACTAAATTTGAGGTAATTATTACAATGTTCAATATTCACCATTACCCAATTGGCAATTTAACGCCTGCTTTCAATTAGAATAGTGCTAGAGTAGTATCAATCAGAAACGTGGACGCTAACAATATATACTTGTATTTATTTTATTCCTGTGCATTCTAACCGCTGGATATATCATTTGTAGGATCTAGCAAGAAACATCGTCTGTAGGATCCAGTATCATTGCTTGCTTCAAACAAACCAATCTGTGTTTGATGTGAATTGTTTTCAATTTAGCTGTATTGGATGTGTAATGTTTTCAACTAATCTCTGCTAGGTAATCTTTGCTGGGTGTGTATTGTTTTTAATCAGTCTGTGTTGGATGTGTATAGCTTTCATAAAACAATTGTATACAACCTGACGAAATATGATGGGATAGCTTATAGATATATACATAAAGGTAGATAGTTGACTTAAGTCGTACGATATAATGAACCGGAAGGGATAAATCGGAAAATAATTTTATTATCGTTGATAGGCACAACAGTTTAGGAGTAACAATTTCCTATATGTAAAGGACTATGACGTATCCGTTTTCGATTGTCTGTATCCATGATTTTACATTTATATATACTTAACATGTAGAACATGTTTATATTGCCTTTGCTCTTTGTGACCACATGCCGTTTGTCAAGATACATTACATCAGAGGGAATAGGTATGATATTGTCCTCAAGTCTGTTCTATTGCCTGCGTAATCAAGACTTCAAAAATCTGCATTTTATGCCATAGGTTTTAAAAGATGTAGTATAATACCTTAAAGACGTAAAGAGAGGGATCAGAAGTTAAACACTAGCTAAAACCCAACTTTAAAGTGTTGCACTGAATGCAGCGTGTTAACAGACAGTGAACATGCCAAATATTGTGGGATCCTTATGAAATGTTTTCGCTGCTTTATTTTAGCAGGGAAATGGACCATAAACTAGTCCGGCTTAATAAGCAAGCCCTCACCCAAAACAATCATAATTACATTTGTACCATTGTAATCTGGAATTGCACCCATCCCTTTTAAAATAAATGTCGATATTATGTGCTATATAAAATATTACAAAATAAATAAATAAATAAATAAATAATAATAATAAAATAAAAACAAATATGGATAAAAAATCACTGGTGAAGAGAGAACACAAAACTATGCACTTCAAATGTAACAAAAGCTTCTTAAACCATTTTTATACAAGGCATGATCTTGTATACGTAATTAATATAGCACAGTACCATTCGTATGCGGGTCTCATTGAAGAGTCGACATTTCTCTTCTGTAACCCGACGAGACCAATATTAATTGGATAAACATTCATACATCATTGAGACCCCTGTCTTTTCTATATGACCTATTATCTTACTTCAGTGTCACATCCATCTGTTTTTTTTCAGTTGTTCAGCTGTCATGGCCTAGAGAGGAGTTAAACTGTCATGGCAGTTATGCAAAGTGTTGAGATATGATCTCAATATCCTTCAATATCAATGGACTACACTAAGGTGTCGTAAACCCACCTCAATTATTAAAATGGTTTTGATTTATGAGTTTTCGAAACAATATTAGTCCTAAGTAAGCATAATATAGGTCTTTGGTCTCAGTTTTACTAAGCTGTTGTATGTCCTGTGCGTCAGAGCGTGTGAATACACCAGTTTAAGTCAATAAGTATGAAGTTCAGATCTGTAGTAATAAAACGAGTTAGATCAAAGAAATCCATGAAAGGGGAAAGTACGCCTCGCTATCCTCCCGGAGCAATAAACTTCCTTCTCTCGGGAATATTATCACATCTTTGGATCTGATGCTTTTATGTGTTCAGTAGTAAATCAAAAGGATGAAGAGGTAACATTAAAACTATAGCTCATATATGTAAGGATGGACAAAGATGTCTACATATATGTTTAACACATTGTCCTTCTTTAAAAATGTGTTATTATCTTGATGTCTTAAAATGATAGATTAGTATATAATGTGGCCTAGAATGTCGATGTCTATACAATAACATGATTTCTCATCAAGAGTCATAAATTTGTATCTATCAGTATAGTAACAACACTTTTCAGCATTTATTCCCTAGAGTGTCTATGGAAATATATACATTTGAGTCTCGCTGCCTTGGCATTGTTCCATCGTAGTTTATGAAGTTAATGTAAAAGCAATTCGACCTGACTTCCGCAATACTTGATTCTGTCTTTGCTCCTGTGATATTGACTTATAAAGAGGAGACCGCAGTGTATGTCTTAAGGCTGTCTTTACCATATAGTAAATATACATGTTGTAACATCCTGTGAAATTAACATTACAGCTTTGTGAATTGTGCCATCTAAAGCAATATGAAGACAACTTCTGTTGTCTTTTGTCATGTTTGGGGAATTAGCGTACTAAAATGTAAGCCAAGGTCATATGAAGATGTTGGTGTCTGGGGAGATCACCTAGAATTATGTTTAGCGAATTGTTTGTTGTTACTGTGTCTGCAGTCTCATTACAACTAAGGTGATATGAAAACGTTGCTCCTAACGGATGATCTAGAAACCAAAGAACAATTTTAAGATGTTGTGACATGACACGGTAGTATGACACACTTCACTCAGCTGTATTGCACTAACTAAAAAGGTAGACATTTGGGTGCAACGGATACATTCAACATTTCGATCTATTTAACGTGTCAAAAATAGACAAAACAAAGGGAACTTTGAAATCTAATATAATTTTTTATTCAATATATTGTTTTCTTTTAGTTTTTTTTTATTTTCTCCATGTTTTTACCGATGTTGATTTCGAATTTTTCACTAGTGTTTAAACCACGTGAAGCAGCTTTCCGTTATTTGTCAATAAAAATCTTTTAAGAACTAATACGTGTTTCATATTTTCTTTTAATTCTTTTGACTAATCTGCAATCAGATCATTTGAACAATCACATCGGGACAGCAATTTCACCTTCAACATTTAGTGTCAAGAAATTACAAAGAATATCCAAATTAAATGATGATGAAAACAGTTTTAAGAATCGACATTATCATCAGTATCAAAATGCTTTACTTGGAAAATGTAATCCTTCGTGGGAAATATTGATAGATGGTAAGTTGTTCGGTTTTTATTTTGTTGATAGGTTATGAAATACGACAAACAAACTAATTACAGTTTTGAGATATGACAAATGCATAAACCTCGTCACTGTGATTGAAAACAAAATAACTCATATCTACCATCTAACATGGAAGAACGAGAAACGATTTGCTACACACGGCAATTTCACCGAATTAAACATACATTAAATATTGTAAAATGGCCATTACGCGACCTTTAATATAACGGAAAGCAAATATATAGATAGAGATTGGTAGAATCAGAAACAAATAATATGTGATATTTCAATTGAAGGTCAATGTTTTTCATTATCCTTTTACAACCTTGTCTTTGCACCAGATGCCAAGACGAACCCGTTCCGCTATCTATATTGTCGTATTCAATACTTTATCAACGAATATTAAGTAAATCTATCTGTAGGTCATCTGTTTATAAGTACGTATCGGAGAATAGGGAATTGTTTGTGCTTGTATAGGATTACCTTGATATACAATAGGCCATGTATGCGTGTTTTCCTACAGACGTTCGGATTGCCATGGGCGACCTCGTGCGATAGACGTCTCATTCGTTCTCTATAAGTTCTATTACCGTTTAAGCTCAATGTACCACGCCTATTACTGGTCAATACATATCTAGTGACATCCTTTCGGAGGAAATCATGTGGAAAACAACTGCAAGTGTTCGGGAATTATCCAGGGAGGAATTCTCCTCAGTTCTCCAACTGCTCGAGTGAGCAACATAATCTCGGAAGGCTATGGATTAGATGTCCTTGATTGAGTCTAAACAACGCCATAGAGCCGGATTGTCAATCCGGAAACATAATTTAGGAAAGGGCACGTTAGCTCTCTTCTTACAACAGACGTTACATACCGCATCGGTAACTTATTTGAATTCCATCATTAATTGACAATGAAACTGGCAGACTGATAAAAACATATATTAAACATCAATCAAATGGAAGATGTAAATGAAATTTAAAACAGTTTTTGATTTTTAATTATGTTTCTTCTGGTGTATGATAGTATGAATGGAATATATTGATATTTTACAGAAGTAGACGACATTTGATGAGGCATTTTTTAACCATCTGAATAACACACATTCAATGTTTAATTTAATAATAAATTGAATTAACAATTTTATGAGACAATTTAATGGAATCCTAAATGTGCGATTTTACTTAATGACACAATATCACATTATGCTTCTATGAATGACATTCTACCAGCCCTCTATTTTGACATCAGAAATCGGGTTGGACGCCTTGAAAAAAAATAAGTAAAGCAAAATAATTTTGTCTTTAGCAGTGGGATATATTGCTTCAAACCTGATCGCCGAGAATATTTAACAATTTAACTTTGAATCAAGAATTAAACTTACTTGATGTTGCCAGCTTAAAACTGTCTTCGACATCTATCACTTCAACAAGGGCAGATAACTCGAACTTTTCTTTCGTTCTCTCTTTGCTGTGAGCAACAGCATATTGAAATCCCGTACTGGTCTGAACATCATCAGTATCAAAGATAGCACCTAAAAAGTATAAGAAAAGGCGTTGCTGTAGACAAAGAGGGTCAAATCTCGATACTAGGTCTTAGACAGAAAAACATTAAACATTTAAAGGTCCTTGAAAATAAATGTCCAGGGAAAGCGTATCTATAACACATGAGAGTTTTTTAGATAGTGTTTGCTTCGAAAGAGAAATATAGGGTGTAACGTTTTCTTTTGTACATTTCTCATTATCAATGGTTTTGAAACTCTCTTTATTATCCCATGTATTCCCCATTGGCTACGGAATGCAATTTCGCTAAGTTGATCTTGTTTAAAACGACCCAAACACCATCACTTTGTTTAAGAGAGAGGCGGCACAATGCAAACAGTGTTCGGCGCAGCTATGGCGTGAAGAGCTTGGAGTCACGCAAACGTATAACACGAGAACTTGTTAACAATAGAGAAATATATTTCAAAATTGCAATGACGGTTAATCAAAATATATGCCAAATCACACATGATGACGTCAAAAGTATATGAATGAATTTGAAAAATCGTCAAAACTATTAAGATGGTTGAAAAGGAATTATTCACATTTAACATGAAAGTATGAGTAAGACATTTATTCAAATGTCCGAGACCAATAAGTAAATCTGATATACAGATGAAAATTACATTGAACTGTTCAATGTTCATTTATACCATGACTATATGCATAGATAATTGCAGAAAAACAATTCTAACTACATTGAGTACAAGATAATGAGTCTATAAATGTAGAATAGCAGCAGTAGGCTGTTAAGCATTTACAATCAAAAGTTAGTTATTTCACATTTAATTTTATTTCTAATGATCACAAGTTAAATATACACCAAACCTCATCGATGTCTTGAAGGGAGCAATACCCCACATAACATAATTAATTAACTTAATTAAAAAAACCTGCAGACAACTGGAGAGGTACCAGGTATACTGCAGTATCAAATGGAACGAACAACAAAACAAATAATACAAACAAACTTACCGATGGGAATCCTCCCTTTGAAAGACTCGCTGACACATAAAAGATGTAAAACTATTGTTGACAACTGAAGCAGAAAACCGTTCATCTTGATGTTGTTGGCGGACAACAGTATATTTTAAGGATCACAGCATCACAATACGAAAGTATAAAACAAATATAAAACATCAGTGCTTACATCATGAACCCCAACGCTAATATGAGTCCGGGTTCGCTTGGAGTTGAACGTCATTCCTTTTAAGGTAGTTATTGATTTATCGTATTTACTCTGTTCTCGTAATAATGCCGTGTAAAAACAAAAGTAGCTACCCTAACAGCGGATCCATTTAAACGTGGAACAAACTGATTTGTTATTAAAATGAATCAGTCCGTCACGGCTGGTTTCCTTTTACGGCTTTGTGTTGTTATGCCGTGTTGGTGCTACTGCAGCATTTAGCATCGTGCGAAGTTCCCATACTCCGTCTAAGTCAAGATTCTGCAATGACAGCACGCGGTATAACAGCGACAGCCTAGGCAGTCTGCTTCCATCACAAATTACTAGGTCGTAAGAAGGAAGCAACGCGCTGCTTCAATAACTAATAATTTGTCAGAATGTGTGTGATTTTTGCTACCTTGTTGAGGGCAAAGCAATTACCAAAATGAAATTATTTTGTCAAAGTATCACAAGAAGTATTAATTTTCAAAAAAAAAAAAAAAAAAAAAAAGAATATGTTATATTTCCATGTGATATATTTAACAATCTCTCGAGTCGTCAAATGGATGTGCGTGTAAGTATTCAAAGCCAAGCTGGGACAAAATTAGAAGATTGGCGTTCTGTTGTGTGTCCTATGTGATTCCATCGCGCACCGTTCGCTATCTCACAGCGCATTGTATTGGCCTCGTATATACAATATAATGAACCTGTCAAGCAACCTCGCAACCATTTTCAATCACTAGCTCCTTGCTGCCTATTGATATCACTGCAACGAACGTCGGTTGCCGTCCATTACCCATGTCAACATGTTCGGGTCGCCTGCCTTTCTATCAGCATAGCGTTGTCGCTCTCGCTCCCCGCGTCTTGGGATTACAGGTGATTGATGTAGACTGGTGACACTATCTCATAGCACTGTGGGTACAGCTGCTGGCGTCCTGGCTTTCAGTTTCAGGATTCGATACACACGTGCGTGGTAGAATTAAACTCTTCTGATTCCTTCTTCTAAATGTTTTTAAATGTTTGCTCGATAAACCGAAACTTCGGTAAATCGGGTTACCGGCAGTCACACAAATCCATTCTCCTGTCTCTTTAAAGTAAACACGTTTTATGATTTAAACTTATAAATGCATAAAAGAAATATGTTGTTCATCTCACCATTTCGCATGTAGTATTACGTTCCCCATAAAGAGGCAAACACAGCCAAGAGGACAATGTTTGAAGATCCACGATAATCAGCGGTACTCCTTCTCACGGCTATGAAGGAATAAAAAGTCTGTATAACTCCAATGAGTGGTAAGAAATCGTTAGTATGTTGTTTATATAAAATGATTTGGTTACGTAACATGATACCGAGTCTAAGTTCTTGCATTTCAGTGTGATGACACTATACTATGCCATAGAGCTTCTCATTAATCTCGATTAATCGTAATTCAAATATTCCTGTCATCTAACTAACAAAGAACTCTCCGTCACTTTTGTGTGTTCAGCACAAGGCTCCACGTTCAGTATTTAAAACGATTTGTTTGTTAAGATAACTTCATGAATATACTATGACTGGAATGGAAGAAGCATTTGTTTTGTCATATCGAAATTGCCGTTTGATTTAGTACATACATGACCATATCATTACATAACATAGTCGACGTATGACAAAATTTCCTACAAGAACGAGCTTGCAAAGATGAAACTTTATCGAAAAATGTTTCGCTAATGCGACAGTTTTCGTCTGTCTTTTCCAGCATAATACCGATCATAGTATAAGGGATCGAGATGTATTCTCTCTTTCAGTGATGTCCTCGGGGCGACCGTCGTCGAGTGTCAGTATTATGGGGGACGATCAACCTCAAACAAACAAGTCATTTACATATTAAGCATCGATGGTGATTGTTCACGAACCTTAGCTCGACTAACACAATCTTGAAATGTCAACCTATCTCTGTATCCGTGTGTATCTGACAGACACTGTCAACGGGGAGTAAATTTTTTTGTGTCTGTAGGATTAGGATATCAATAATCCTGTTGTATTTTTATATTTCCGTCAATTGCATGCGTGCTATTGGTAGAATACGTTTTATTAATGTTTTTTTCTTGCAACTTGAATATTCTGTTTGAGGATGATATCGGTAATTCTAGTTTCAGAATATTGTTTCCAGTGACGTGTAAGCTGCAGAAAATAATATTGTTATAAAATTTCAATCCTCCAAAATACATACATGCATGCTTACATTCAAATGTTGCATATAAAACAGAGTTGGGAGGATGTAATGATGACGTACATTCGGAAGTCTGGAAACATATCTTGGTCAACATTATAATTATATCGGTTGTATGGTATTATCGATCCGTGTGTTAAAAATGCAAACACCGCACTTGCTTTCATGTGTGATATGATACACTGATTAACGTGTAAAGTGACATCTTTGGTCTTGACACCGTAGATTGCCATAACAAAACGAAACATCGTTGTTATAATGCATTGGTAAAGCGGTAAATACAAGAAATGAAAATAAGAACAGGTTTTACCTGAGAAACCAATATAGAAAACAAATTAACACATTTTCAAAAGCGCTGTAAGGAACTGAGAGCTTCTGCTCAGATGTATCTTATCAATTCACCGAAACTAATTCGAAATTGCTTTGATTTTTTGGATTGTCAGTCGACGAGAGATCGACAAATCAATATGCTGAAGTAGTTTGATAGCATAAATCCAATGAAAGATACTCCAAACAATATACAATATGTCACTGGTAGAAACAGGATGGAAAATCATCCAATCTGTTATTCAATATTTCGTTACGTGATATTAAATGGTTCCAGTTGTCTAGGTCTATGAGAGCCTACCGACCGAAAATCGTCTCCAGCTATACAGACTGTTACTTGCTATAACCAATCGCTCATAACTAATGAAGAAAGAAAAAAATCGGCATTTTTTTATTATTTCGGATTTACCATTCTCGTATTAGTCGGGATAGAACGAGAATTAAGGGGCCAATCAAAGAACGTTACGTGAAAAGGGAACGAAGAAACAAATTGAAAATAAGTTTTGTGGAGGTTGGATTATCATAAAATGTATTCGTTATTATTATATGAGCTCAGCAGAATCGCTTATTTTAGTACTGTCCTTTTGACTTCCATGTTCCTGTTATTTGATCTATTGCTTCAGTTTTGTGTTGCCCCAAGAGTATCTTTAGAGAGCACGTTAATATAATTGTATTATGTAATAGGTTTGTCTTGCAGTTGCACTATGGATAACGTAACTATCCATCCTTTGTTGTTATGAGGGAGACGAATCTGAACAACAGAATACGTATAGTTAGCACATACTTGTACCATGCACTCGTTATCAAGAATATCTAAAGTGGTACATTGTTACATAGAAATGGAAGAGTTGAGGCAATGTGATTTTTATACTTGATTAACGTACATATTTTAACATGTAGCCTGGACAATTGTACAAAATATATGCAACTGAGTAGCACAATTCAATACAAATTAAGAGTTAGAGACAGTAGAACAAAGTTAGGAGTTGAACAGCTGTATCGTCCTCTTAGAATTTATCAGTGCCGAGGGCCTAAATTTTGAAGTCTAGGAAAAGACTGAGAAAAAAATCAAAATTGATAGAAAGTAAATTCAAAATCGAGAAAGTTTTGTACACTAACCCAACAATTCAATAAATTTCGAGTTTTACTTTTCCCCATAATTGCAAAAGAACGTCAGGAACAGGCCTACCGATATTCGAATTATTAAAAAAGGGGCATGCAAATTCAGCAAACCTCGAAGACATCAGCCCACCAAAGAGTCTACCACCTGTAATCCAGAATAGTTTGCAATGAAAGTGGGTAACATTTACATTTTTATTTAAGTTGGAAACTTTATTGTTTTCTTTTGAAGTAAATGTTTATAATTAATGCTGATAACATTTAGACTAATTCTAATTCTACCAAGCGGGTGATTATTCTTTTTGTTTACAATTTTTGTAAGAAATTGTAGCTTGTGTTAAAAGACTTTGAGAGGGTATCACTGACCTTTCATAGCAACCTAAATATTTCTTAATCAACATTATTCTATAGAAAGCAGTAACCAAACGTTTTGTTCTGCATGTTGTTAAATGAATGTGTCTGACGGCTAATTCTGTAATGATCAAATAAAGCAAGACCATCTGACTTTTGACCTATGAGTAGAGTGTTGGCCTTCATGAGAAATATCTTCAGGTCGTGGCATGCCACATTCATTAAACCTGTTACTTAAAGCCTTCGCTTCTCGCTCCTCACTTAATGGCAAGTTCATTGAAGCATAAATGACCCCGTCCGATGTCAGTATGATTGATCGGGAGAGATGTCATGCCATTGTGCATCTGGTATTTAAATGGCAATTTACACTGCTCCCTAAGTTGGCTTCAATCTAGAAGACACGATATGTAAATGACCAAAAATATCTGATAGGACGGGGAAAAGGTTAAAAACTATAACTGTATTGATCGCTTACAGTCACGTGATATCTTTTAATTTGCATGCCAATTTTGAATATATATATATATATAGATAGATAGTTGCACAGTGTTCAGAACATACACACACATTTGGGCATCTTTTAAAATCATCAGAAACGGAAAATTGATTAATTATAGGGATAGCATACGAGTACTGATTGAGAAATTGTGAGCCTCATATTTAAGAATTTGCCTTTTAGCGGACATTCTGTATTATTTTTCAACATAATCCCCTTCAGTATATATACACTTTTGCCAAAAAGGTTTAAGGGCGTCAATGCCATTTTTTAAAGAAGTACTTCATATGACCGTTTAGAAGTCCTCCACTGCATGTATGACGTCATCAACTAACTGAAAGTGGGTACCGATAATGGGCTTTTTCAATTTTGGAAATAGATGAAAGTCT